CTCATATCAGGTAAACGTTATTGCGACCCTCTCTTCCTACTTTTTAGTAGTGTGGAGTTTGAAGCGATCAACCTCCGGGGACACGAGGGCCTTGTCCGCATCTTCTTCGGGGTTCCCTCACCACGGGATAAGGTCTCTAGTTCGGAGGGGTGGCGGCCTCGATTGGTTTCCTGGTTCGAGGAACCAATGCCGACTCTTCACTATCATTTTCTTTGTCATCCAAGGAATCGTGGGCTGAATTTGCGTCTGCATGAGCAAATCTCTTCCGCAGCCTTTGAGCAGGGGTTTTCTTATCTTGAGGGTCTTCAGTCTTCGAAACCCTCTTTCTTTTGTTGTCCTTATCTGATTTCGGGATTGAAGACTTGGTCCCTTCCCCGGGCGGGGCTGGCCTTATTTCGGAGATATCTCCGATGCCTGCACAAGTAAATGTGAATAAGTTGATGCCACCAACGAATGGAAAATATCTAAAACTTGAGTAGAAAATTTACCATGATGTTTGGCCTCTCATTTTCCCCTCAATAAATCATGTCATTTGCGCTCATCATACGAGGAGGTCGCGGCCAACTTTCGGACCCAATCCTCGAGATCGGGGACAACGTGAGGTGTCCAAGCAACAACTGTAGAAAGATGAAAATTTTATTATGGGATATGGAAGTTGAGTATATATAGATATTAGGAATAAAGACTCCACTTACGACTATAATTCATCTCTCCGAGAACGACATTTTGTCCGGGGGAATGACGTCCGAAGTCCTTACTCGACGAACCGGCTCATCTAGCCCCAATCCTTGGGTTCGTCGTTGCTGGCAAAGAAGGCTTTCTTCGTACGACAATGCAACTTGACAAGCCCTCGAAATAGCTGGGGACAGTACAATCGAATCAGGTGGTTGAGGGTGAATTCCAACCCCTCGGGCTTTTCAAAAATGTAGCGCAGTATGATCACGATATGCCAAAAAGAGGGGTAAATCTGGCCGAGGGTGATTTCGTACGTTTTGCAAAAGTCTATCACCACCAGATCAAGGGGACCCAGTGTGAAGGGGTAAGTGTAAACATTTAAAAAAATCCCTCCACGTGGGTAGTAATGCTTTACTCGGGGCTCGGGATCTGAACCACGACCTCATCTCCCCAGCCACGGTCCTTCTTCATATCTTTAAGGTGCTTCTCCGATATCAAGCTAAGATATCGAGATGCGTGCTCGCATCGGCCTGGGACTTTGGGAGGATTTTCAATACTAAAATCCTACTTAATCACACAAGGGCCGGGGATGATTTCTTCAAGAGTTGGCGGCGCCACCGGTTTGGCTGGTTGGGAGGTAGAAGAAGATGACGCATTATCTTTTTTGGGGACCGTTTTAGAAGTTTTAGCCATAATTTCAAGCAAAAGAATACAGACTGCGTCTGAATGTGGTGTTTTTACAAGAACTAGGAGTTTTCTGGCGTTTAAAGAGGCGGTGGAAACATGTGATCAGAGAAAGAGATGAAGAAGGGAAAGATGGAATGAAAGAGCAAAGTTCTTTACTCAAAGGAATAGCCTCATATTTATAGAGGGGCAATAACGGTTCAGCGGTGCTAGTGGCTAACCAATACTGGCATGCATTCAATATTTTGGGGAAGTGTACCGACGGGATGTTTCAGTCACTTCGAACACCTGCATCACGAAAATGACGTAATCACTAAAGACTTCAGGAAAACGAGGATCAAATCGTTTCTTATCATCTTATTCTAAGAAACGTGGGGACTATTTGTATATGGTCAAAATAGTGTGCCTCCGATTTATGGGTTCGACGGTCCGTCCTAGGCCTGAGTCCTGGCAAGGTCGAGTTCGAGACTGGCTGACCAGACTTGAGCTCGAAGACAGAGTGCAATGCCCGGGGATAGGAGTTCGAGAAATACCGGAGCCAAGTATGCTCGACCCCGAAATAGTACCGTTATGGATTTGTACCTGAATGAGCTAGATTCCTTCCACGTCCCCAAAGTCATGGCGTAAATCTCGGAATAGGGTTGTACGATTCTGTACTAGGCGGTTAGACAGCTGTACCAAGAATATTCCTTAATGTAAATAGAAATATTCCTTATATAGGGTTCCCTTATTATATAAAGAGGACCTCAATCATTTGTAACATCATCTAATCATTAAGCAAAGAATATACTCTCTACTTTTTCGCCTACTGCTAATAGGCTACATAGACGATATTTACACCTTAATTATACCATACTTTATTGTTTTTTATAGGCTAAATGATAACAAAATGCTCTAATTAGTGTTCTTTTGCTTCGCAGGGACTAATCCAAGTTAGGAAGAACTATGGAGTATTTTGGAGTTAATAATGTGAAAAAAACATCTAATCAAGAAGCACCCAAGCAGAAAGAAGCAAAAAGTGGACTGGGTTTGAATCCACCGCGACCGCGGTGGACCGCAGCAGGCCACAAAGGCGAGGCAGAATGTTTGACTCTCACCGCGGTCGCGCCGCGGTCTATCGCGGTGAACTGTGCAGTTGCCAGAAATTTTAGGGACCAAAGTGCAAAAAGTGGACTGGGTTTGAATCCACCGCGACCGCGGTGGACTGCAGTTGGACCGCGGCAGGCCACAAAGGCGAGGCAGAATGTTTGGCTCTCACCGCGGTCGCGCCGCGGTCTATCGCGGTGACTATGCAATTGCTAGAAATTTTGGGGACCAAAGTGTAACTCGGAGAAAACTTATTCCAAACCCTTATAAACTATAGGAGTTTCCCCAAGAAATTACTAAGCTTGTTTTTAGACTACTCTGGAGGTAAGAACAAGTGTGAGAAGATCAACCAAACATTAGAGTTTTTCTATCTTCTCTTATTTATTGCAATTTCACATTATGAACAATTTAGTAGTTTTATCTTGCTTTGTTATGAGTAGCTAAACATTTGATCTAGGGTTTATGGAACCAATTATTGGGTGAAGTTTTGACTCAACTTTGTTATAATCGTGCCGGATTTATTATATGATTGTTCAACTACGTTTTATGGTGATTAATTGAATGGGCCCTTGATTAATCGTGTCTAATTGCCTTGTGTTGCTTGAAAAAGAATACTAGGTTAGATTATGTTGAACAACACCACTTTTGGGTAATTGAAGAGATTCATTACTTGAACTTAAAAGTGGGGGTAGAGATAACGAAACTTTGGTGGGATAATTCAGAGCTGCACAAATTATCAGCTAGAGTAGTTCGAGAGAATGCTCTAGTAAATTATCGTAGTTGATCGATAGATAATTACGATAGCCCATAGCTCATAATCCTCATATAGTATTACGGCGAAATTATAACAAAAGAGTGAAGACTTAAACTAGCAATTGAGGAAATCAATATCCTAGACCTTTTTACTATTGAATTATCTTTGATTTGGCATATTGTTGTTTTTAATATTATTTGGAAGTAGTTAAACAAAAACCTAATCTTTATTGATAAGAATCTTCCATCTGGAAATTGTTTGAGTTGATAATAGCATTGCTAAGAGTTGTAATAGATAGGTTAGTTCCCTGAGAATTCGACTCCGAACTTAAAACCGGATTATATTTGCAACGACCGCTTAATCTTTTAGAAGGCATAGTTGGGCGTGATCAAATTTTGGCGCCGTTGCCGGGGAACTAACGGTGTTATTATTACAACTTAGAAGTAGTGCTAGAATTATTAGTTTAGATCAAATTTCTAAGGTGTTAAACAATTTCTTTTCCATTGAAATTCTCACGTTTGAACTCTTGTGGGATTCAGGTGTATGCCTAGAAATTCTTCGAGGACTGGAGAACTGTTTGAAGGACTCTCAAACCCCGAGAAAACATTCAGGGCATTGAACCGTTGCCAACAGGAAGAACAAACACACCAACTTGATTTGACATGGGTGACGTAAATAATGTCAACAGAAACATCAGGGATGAGCCAGCTAACCCAAACGTCAGAGTGGTGGCACCTCTTGTGCCAGAAGCTACATTTTATGATTGGGTACAACCAACAGCTGACAACCTGGCCACTGCTATTGTTGTGCCCCCAATACAAGCAGAGACATTCCAGATCACCAACAACATGCTACATCTTCTGCAGAATAAGGGGTTGTTCTCCGGGTCACACATTGAAGATCCTCAACAACACTTGAAAAATTTTCTATCGATTTGTGTGACCCAAAGGCAGCCAAATGTGACCCCAGAAGCTATCAAGCTGTTACTATTCCCGTTCTCTATGACTGGGGAAGCTCAGATTTGGCTGAATCGCTCCCAATTAATTCCATTGTCACCAAGGAGGAATTAGTCAAGTAGTTCCTGAATACGTTTTACCCGCCCAACAAGACGGCAAGACATATTGATGAGACCTTGCAGGAAACTTGGGAAAGATTCAAAGGGATGCTAGTGAAGTGTCCCCACCATGGGATTCCAGACTAGATGCTCGGCCAGAGATTCTACATGAGTTTAGCAGATAATCTAAAGGCCAATGTAGATGCTTCAGCTGGGGGTGCATTTTTGAGTAAGACATTCACCGAGTGCAAAATCCTTCTTGACATGATGTCCCAGAATTCGGGGTGGATGACGAGACGTACAACACTGGCACCGATAGTGCATTCAGTCCCTCTTGACCCAAATAATTCACATGCAGAGAACATAGCCACACTCATGAATTAGATGAGTATATTGACAAAGAAGATTGATGAGATGGGTACAAAGCAAATGTATATTATTGACACAACAAATGAAGGACTATGTACACCCCGCATTAATCAGTTCTATGTATGTTCATAGAGTGTAGAAGGTGACAACCAATGGGTAAGAGAGGATATGAATTATGTCAATAACTTCGGGGGTCAGAGACAAGGAGGACAACAGTGGAGACCAACACCCAATCAACAGTACAGACCAAACATGCCATAACCTAGAGGTATGCAACCCCAAGGCCAAATAGTGCCATATCAGAGGCAACAAGGCTATCCACAGCAGAACTAGCAACAGTTGGTGTATCAGCCACCTCCTCAGCAACAAGATAACAACATGGTAGAGATTAGGGGAATGCTTCAACAACTCATTGGAACGAATGGTAAGATGCAGGAAAAGTTGGCAGTTCATGACTCAGCAATAAAGAACATTGAAACTCAATTGGGGCAGCTGTCCATGGCCTTAAACAACCGCCCCCAGGGAACATTGCCAACAGACACGAACATTAACTCCAAGGAGTAAAACCCGAATCAGTTGATGGCCGTAAGTCTCTGGAATGGCAGAGATTTAGACAGGGATCAAGAAGTTGCACAATCCAGCAAAGAGACTACGCCAGCCACTCCAGTTCCATTAGAGGTAGATGAACCAGCAGAACTTACTGAAGTGGTGGTTGAACAGGTTCAGCATGATAATGGTAAGACTAAGGAGAGTGAACAAGCTGCAGAACAGGTGGTACCTCTTGTGCCACAGAACCCCAACAGAGAGAAGCCAGCAAGCAGTGCACAAAGGGTGATACCTGCACCATTCCCTCAGAGACTGGCAAAACAAAAGAAAGAAGATCAATACAGGAAATTCATGGAGATGCTTCGTCAAATTCAATTGAATATTCCTCTGATGGATGCTTTAAGGGAGATGCCAGGCTATGCAAAGATGATGAAGGACCTAATGTCACGAAAATTTGACTTTCAGGACCTATCCACAGTAACTCTGACACAGACCTGCAGTGCAGTAGTGACAAGACTCATGGCTCAAAAGATGTCTGACCTAGGTAGCTTTACTATTCCGTGCACTATTGGGAGTTATGCCTTTCCAAAGGCATTATGTGACTTAGGAGCCAGCATAAAATTGATGCCTCTAGCTATATACACCAAACTAGGCACTAACAGAGGTAGACCGACTTCGATGCTGTTGCAACTGGCTGACCGCACGGTTAAAAGGCCAACAGGGATTCTTGATGATGTGTTAGTACAAGTGGGGAAGTTTGTATTCCCTGTAGACTTTGTTATTCTGGATTGCCAGGTAGATGAAGAGATACCTATCATTTTAGGGAGGCCATTCTTAGCCACAGGGAGAGCACTGATCGATTGTGAAACTGGGGAATTAAAAATGAGGTTGAACGATGAAGAAGTCATATTCAATGTTCAACAATCCATGAGGAGACCCAGTGAATATGCTAATTTCTCCCTAGTGGAGGCAGTAGATGTGATCCTGCACGAAGATGATGAGACCCTGACTGCTAAAGATCCATTGGGGGCTTGCTTGACAAATTTAGAGGAGATAGATGGTGAAGGGTTGGCCGAGTGGGTCATGGCACTCGAAGGCCAAGGATTTTGAAAGAGGGAACCTCAGTTTGAGTCCCTTGAGTTAGAAAAGAGGGTCACACCACTAACGAAACCATCAGTAGAGGAACCACCCAAACTGGAGCTGAAACCGCTCCCAGCTCACCTTAGGTATGTTTTCTTAGGGCCTGATTCTACTTTGCCTGTTATTATATCATCTGGTTTGTTAGATGTGCAGGTAGAGCAGCTCCTACATGTGCTACAAGAATGTAAGACTGCCATTAGTTGGACCATGGCAGACATAAAGGGTATCAGCCCAGCATTTTGTATGCACGAGATTCTCTTGGAAGAAGGGCATAAATCTTCCAGAGAACATCAAAGAAGGCTGAACCCAAATATGAAAGAGGTGGTGAAGAAGGAAGTGATCAAATAGTTAGATGCGGGTATCATCTTCCCCATCTCTGACAGCAATTGGGTCAGTCTTGTTCAGTGTGTGCCGAAAAAGGGAAGAATGACGGTCATACAAAATGAGAATATTGAGTTGATCTCGACTCGTACAGTCACGAGATGGCGGATTTGCATGGATTACGGAAAATTGAACACAGCCACCCGGAATGACCATTTTCCCTTGCCATTCATTGACCAAATGCTGGATAGGTTGGCTGGGCGATCTCACTTTTGTTTCTTGGATGGATATTCGGGATACAATCAGATCTCAATAGCCCCCAAAGACAGAGAGAAAACATCATTCACCTGTCCATATGGCATCTTTGCCTTTCGAAGAATGCCTTTTGGGATTTGCAATGCACCGACGACATTTTAATGGTGCATGTTAGCCATTTTTACGGACATTGTGAAGGAAATTATGGAGGTATTTATGGATGATTTCTCCGTGGTGAGGGATTCATTCGAGGACTATCTTCATAACTTAAGAAGAGTGCTCAGAATATGTGTGGAGACAAATTTAGTGTTGAACTAGGAAAAGTGTCATTTTATGGTACAAGAAGGGATAGTCTTGGGGCATCGAGTGTCCTGTAAGGGAATCGAGGTTGACCATACTAAGGTTGATGTGATCGAGAAGTTGCCACCGCATACTTCAGTCACCCGATTTACTATGCAAGCAGAACGCTCAGCGGTGCACAACTCAATTACACCGTGACGGAAAATGAGATGTTGGATGTCGTTTTTGCATTCGACAAATTCAGGTCATACTTGATTGGCTCAAAAGTTATTGTTTATACTGACCATGCAGCAATTAGGTACCTGATAGAAAAGAAGGAGTCAAATCCACGCTTGATTCGCTGGGTTTTTTTGTTATAAGAATTCAATCTGGAGATCCGTGATAGAAAAAGGATAGAGAACCAAGTAGTTGACCACCTCTCAAGGTTGGAAGGAGCTAAAAAGAAGGTAGAGGTTGAGGATATAATAAAGACATTCCCGGATGAACAGTTACTAGCAATGACAATGGAGGAGGCACCGTGGTATGCTGATATTGCTAATTATTTAGCAAGAGATATTGTACCTTATGAACTCTCCTCAATTCAAAAGAAAAAGTTCTTTCGTGATTGTCAGTCTTATTATTGGGATGAACCTCTACTGTTTAAAATATGTGTAGATAACATGATCCGGCGGTGTATCCCCGAGAAAGATCAACATTCTGTTTTGCAGGCTTGCCATGCTTCACCATATGGTGGACACTTTGGAGGAATTCGGACAACAGCTAAGGTGTTGGAGTCGAGTTTATATTGGCCAACTCTGTTCAAGGATGGCCATGCTTGGGTCAAAAGTTGCGATGAGTGCCAAAGGACATGTAACATATCTCGCCANTGCTGCGACGTTAAATCAGAAGCTGTGTAGGAGGCAACCCACGAATGTTCTAGTTTTTTGTTTTCTTATGTAACCTTATAAAAACAACTTTGCACCGCGACCGCGGCTCGACCGCGGTAGAGGATGAGTATTCTACCTCACATCTGCTCGACCCACCGCGACCACGGTGGGACCGCGATAGGACTACGGTGAGGCAATACCATTCTGCCTCAGATTCCTTAACCCACCGCGGCCGCGATAGGACCGCGGTGGTTCGGTGAATTCCGTCACCCAGGTAAGTTAATTTCAAATTTTTATTTTATTTTATTTTCTTTTCAAAATCCCCCCTCCCTTTTAATTTCATTAAAACACCCGCCCCCCTCTCACTTCCCCCATCTCCTCTCTCTCTAAACCCTAATATCTCATGTCCATCTTCTCTTCTTCTTTTTCTTCACTTCTCCCACCTCCCCCATCTCCATTCATCCCACTCTCTCTTCCATCAAGGTATGTCACTCCCCTACCTCTTCTATTGTATTTTTGTGTTAAGTTTTATCTTAGTTCAATATTTAATTGTGTAGTATCTCTAGCTGAAATTGTTTGCTTTTAATTTTCTTCTTTTCTTGCTTTTTAATGGGTTATATGCATAATGTTGTAGAGTAGTGTGTGCACAATATTGTAGAGATGTGTGTGCTTGTGTGTGTAAGACTAGTGTTATGGGTGGAATGGTGAAGTGCAAATTGTGATTTGGGGGAAGCATTGATGTATCTATATGGGCTATATGTGTTAGGACAATGTCTAGCCCACAAAGTGTTTGTGGAATTTCCCCAAGGGAGTTATAAGGGCTAATGTGACCATGGTTGTAGTGAAGTCTGAGTAACCACCCATAGTTCACACAACTCACACCCTCACTGATAGGCGATTCTCTGTTTGACAGGAACAATGCATCAATCTAGGAAGAGACACAACACAAGGTCCTCTGCTAGTAGACCAGGCAGTTCTTCGAGAGCTCGGAGTCAAGATAGTGCGGAACAGTTTGACAGCACTAGGTTTGTCTCCAAACCGGCTGAGAACAGGTACAATGCAAAGGCGTCTAAGAAATTGTTAGCGGAGGTGCATATTGACCGGGCAGCTTTGCAAGTGGAATACCCGAATATCTTTGCTGAGTTGAGGAGGCGTCAGTTGGACATCTTCTTTGAGGAACAGAAGGAGGCAAATGTACAGATGGTAAGGAAATTATATGCTAACTACCCGGAACACGAGGATGGGGTTGTCACAATACGTAATACCCGAGTAAATACGTCCCTCGAGGCCATCCATCGGGTGTACCGGCTACCAGTATTCACGGGAGAGATGGATGCTTATATTGCTTATCATCGCTCGAGGGTCAATTGGGCACCAATTCTTGATGTCATATGTGTGCCGGACAGGGAGTTTATATAGATAAAGAGTTTGATAACAATGAACTCACAGTAATTGGGAGGCAAAGTGCTGGCTTGCAATTATCAACAGCCGCTTGCTACCCTCAAGCAACACTACTGATGTCAATGGGCCATGGGCAGCGACTATCTACAGTCTTATGACCCACCAGGATTTTGATGTCGCCGGGCTCCTCCATGATGAGATGTTCATTCGCTCACCTGAGATACTCGAAGGTTTTTACTTCTCTTCTCTGGTCACTAAGTTGTTTCGTGCTACTAGAGTCCCTGAAAACCTTAGAGTTGATGGTAAATTGCCATTGAAAGCCCCGTTCCGAGAAAGCAAAATCGGAATTGGAAGAGAGCCAGTGGTGATGGTTAAGGATGATGATGAATCTGATGATGATGCTGAGGAAGATGTTGTCCCACCACCTACGAGAGGTGATGAGGCGGGCCCATCACAACCCTGCCGAAGTACCCGCCTGACAGCCCTAGAACAAGAAATGGCCGGTCTCCGCACTTCTATCACGAACCTGGACACCAGAGTTGACACTCTGACCACTCAACAAGCAAAGTCGGAGAAAACGATTTTAGGATGGCTTCGAGCGCTAGGACGAGCATGTCACCTCGATCCTGGTACCATCTCTGATCAGGATTGATTTTTAGGGAAGTCCCCTTACCTTACTCTACTTTATATTTGTTGACATGGGGACATGCCAAACTTTTAGGTGGGGGTGGTTGTTGTTGTAAGTAGACTGTGTAACTTTGTATGATGTTGCTTTCTTTTTAATTGATTGGTATTGTAGGGTCATGTAGTTAACTTCGACTTGGCCCGAAGACGGACACCTTTTGATAGGTCTCTTGAGGTACATTAGTCGAACAAAAAACAGAATATAAGAACTCTTCCTGATGATGGATATTTGAGACAGTTTCTTGAGGGAAGTTAGTCTAGAGAAAATACCAAAAAGATTTTTTATTTTATTTTTCGGTAGTGTAGCCCTTGGTTTTTCTTTAGGCCACGGTTCTTTTCCAGGGGTTTAGCTTGAATCTGGTGTAGGTAGTTTTTATTTATTTTGTTTTTAGTTTTAGTTAGTATTGATGGGCTACGAGCTGAAATAGAAAGAGAAACCCTTGGCGTTACTACACCTGAACACAATCGACACTAGAGTGTAACTCCTAGTCTCAGTGGTTGACTCTTGCTAAAGTGCCTTAAATTTGTATGTTTGTAATGGACTTGAACACTCAAAAGAAAGTGTCTTGATTAACCAATCTAGAGTGAGTCATGTTCCATATGTGTGTGAGTTGTACTGTATTCTATGTTTTACATTTGATGCCTAGAACTTGTCCTGTGTGTTTGCAAAGCGAAATAGTAGCTTCATTCAGTCTTAGAAGTGATATAGGCATTTCTTTGTTAAGCCAGATATATAAAGTACACTCACCTAAAGGTACTACATCGTAGTTAACTCCGTTGAGCCTATATGCCTATTTCTTTGGCAACCACATTGTGAACCTTACCCAATTGTTTGAATAACTGTTTGTTTGAACCCCTTTTATCTCCCATGAGCACTTGAATGGCCTTGACATATGCAACAATTAAAGTGTGGGGTGGTGGTTTGATTTTTGAGTGGAGCCAATGAAATAGAGGAAAGTTTTGGAAAAGTAAAAAAAGAAGCTCCACGAAAAAAATAAATAAATGTAGTGTAAGTAGTAGCTTGATACAAATGCACCTAAAGGAATGGGATGTTATAAATAAAATGTGGTGGAACGTCTGGTTGACATAAGTATGATTTGAAAGGTTAATGTGATTGTATTAAAAGTGCTTAGGGAGGTTAGT